AGGAGAGGAGAGATGAGGAGGAGGAAAAGAGACAAGAGAGGGGAGGAGGAGGAGGAGGAGGAGGAGGAGGAGGAGGAAGGTGGGGTGGGGGAGATATCCAGATAGGAATTCTGGGCCGCTGCCGTTTGGATGGCTGAAATCCTCACAGAGACATTCATTCCCTCTCCCACCCCCACCTTTCCTTGAACTAACTAGCCCCCTTTGAAATGTTAACTTGAAGAATTAAAAAAGAAAAATGGATGTGGGTAGTACATAAATTAAACTGAGACAGTAGTCGGGATCTGGAGGACCCTGTGGTGTGCAGCATTATATGTTTAAATGCAAAATTACAGGTCACCCCAATATGCATTAACTTGGAGAATTGAGAATGAAAAATAAACTCGTACTCTTGTGTCTTGCATATGAATGAGGCATAGGCTGATTTGATAGGTTTTTTAAAAGACGTCATTGTGAGTGAAATGCTTTATTGCAGGATTTAAATCCTTTGACTCTCTCATAAGATTTCAGGGATCTTAGGAAGCTACCTTTGGGTAGTTTGGAGAGAAAGGTCAGGGAGTTCTCTTGAGGCCTAAGGGGCTGACCAGGGACAGGCCTTTTTGGGGAGGAAGGCCATGATCATCCATTCCCATTTACCTTTATTAGGATCTGCCTCCAGAAGAAGAACTTAGCAAATACTTCAAATATTGCAAGAAAATTAACACAATCATTAGTGGATGCTGCTTTTTAAAAATGGCTTCAATCCCTTATGGTGGGTGGCAGGAGAAGATCCAATTTCCTTTTGAATTAAACAATGTAATGCATATTAGATGAGTTTTTATTATGATACATCTAGGGAGCCAAGAGCTATCCTAGTTGATCTTGCAAATAATTTTAAGATGCTTTTCTTTTTAATTGAATTTATTGTGCGTTATTGAAAGCAGCAGATTAGCAGAGGACAACCCATCTGAAGTCATTCGAAGTTTGTGAGGTCTGAAATGCAGCATTAAAGGCTACGCTTGGAATTTATAGTCTAACTTGCAGATTTCAAATTTTAATGAATTCTCTGGGCAGATGAAATAAACTTGAATGACTCAGAAACTGCAAGCAAAGGAGGGAGCCATGTTGGAAATCAGTTCCAAGTCTTTCTGGGAAATGGTCCAGGGACCATATTGATTGATGACATGTCTGTAACACCTTTAGGTTTGAAAGGTGCCTCAAATACCATCGTTAACCAATCAACAAGCATTTATTAAGCACCTACTCTATGCCAGACTGGTGTGATGTCATTTGAATCTCACTTCTTAGGTAGGTACTGATCTCCCAGTTTTACAGATGAAGCAACTGAGCCTTAGAGAGTTTAAGCCAATTCCCCATAGTCACACAGAAAATAAGGGCTGGAGGTGGGATTTGGGTCCTGTGTTCAAGAGTTGATGTTGTATTCAGTGCTCTTTGTCTCAGATACCAATTTGCCTCTCCTATAGCTTCACTTGTTTCTTATTTGACCTTATATTTTGGACCTGTCCAGATCTAGTGTGGAAATTACCTCCCTGTGAATAATAGCCATTCTTCTGTAACTTACAGTCCTAGACAATTGTTTGGCGGCGCTAAGAAGTTCCGTGACTTGCCCACAGTCACATGGCTGGTACGTGTAAAAGGCAAGACTTGGCCGTGGGTCTCCTTCGAGGCCAAGGCCTTATTGGCTCTCATATTTAGGTTGTAGGATTATAGATTGGAGCCGGAAGTGACCTAGAGTTTATGGGGTTCAACCCCTTCGTTTTACAGATGAAGAAACCAAGGCCCTCTCCGCTCTTCAGCCCAGGTTCTCAGTCTTCAGTTCTGGCCCTTGTTGTCCTTTATCATCCCATCTCTTTATTTTGTATTCAAACAGCTTGCGTTTTGTAGAGATGTCTTCTGTGTGCCCTGTTTTGTAGTTTGCTGCAGGGTATTTTGGGTGGAAGAGGAATTCTTTATCCTACAGCTGGTGTCTGGGCTGTGCCTCGCTTTAGGAAAATGAATGCGGCGGTCATGCTTGTCTCCCTGTATTTTTCAAGATTTTGGCGAAGTCAGGAGTTTGATTAGACCATTTAATCATCAATTTTTAAGTAGAGAAAATCGGTAACTGCTTGTTAAATTGTAGATAATTAAGACTTCAGTTACTCGAGTCAAATTTTTCTGAAGCCCTTTTACGACTCTTCAGCGTGTGCAAGGGGAAGGAAGCTGGGGCTCTGAAGAGAACTTTGAAATGAAATCTAGTGCAACACCCCCTCTTGGAGCTCCTCCCCCCACTCTCATCTCATACTCAAGGAGTCCCAGATGATGTTACTCTTCAGGTCTAGGTTTATAAAACTGGAACTTGTGAGCCCCCATCAGTGTGTTACCTACAATAGCCAGCTGACATAATTAGCTCCAAGTACAGGTGTGTGCATAATGGCATAGTAAGAACAGAAGCTAAAAAACATTCCTCCCGTAAACTTGGTATATCCTCACCACCCAATTACATACTGTTAGTAGCAAGAGGGAGAACAGATATGAAGGACACCAGTAGACAAACATCTTGGAAAGACGTGTAGCCAAAAATAATTCATGCGTCTTGCACTCCATTTGTGGGGTCATCATGGGCTCCCTGGGCCTGTTCTTCTCTGCAGTTGGACCCAAAATGGACAGAATCCATTTTCAACTCAAAAAACTCCTCCTGACTTATACCTGGATTGACTCACTAGAGCATGTTCTTTGCTTCTTACAGGGCCGCTGCCATATCTAATCATTTGGCCAGTCCAATCTACCAAGTTTTTTCAAAGAATTTCACACTTCATTAAGGTGTAAGGAGGGGTGGTACAGACACTTCTTTACAATTCCTTTGGGACCAGAACACATTGTGGTAATAGCTCTCTATAGTCTGTAATTTCACCAGCTGTGCTGGAAATGTATGTGGAATTAGTGATTACTGGTCCCTAAAGTTCCTTTCACCTCCCAGCCACCACTACACTAGAAGACATGTCTGTCACTGCTCTTCATAACAGCTAGTAAGAATAGGCCTATTTGTAGTTGCTGATGTCTCTTTGACCTTTCACTCTCCTTCCTTCCTTCCTTCCCTCCTTTCTTCTCTCTCTCTCTCTCTCTCTCTCTCTCTCTCTCTCTCTCTCTCTC